TCTAGGAGTGTGTATGTTTGATGTGTGTATTTTCATTCGCGGTCAAAGAATAACTGAAAGGCGGCGTGCAAGGACGTCCCCTAGATTTTTTGGCCATTTTGAAAGTGCTCAAAAATAGCTGAATTTTGGCATGTGGGCTTCGTTTTACCTGAGAAACATTGCTCTGAAGCTTTTTGGCTGGGGCGCTCTTCGTTCTCGAGAAATAACGTATGCAAAAAACTCACTTTTCCAAGCGGCATCTTTTGCAGATCTTTTGGTGAACAAAAAACAAAAGAAACCTTCTTATTATTTTGTTGAACAGCAAACAGGCAGACTGTTTATAGTGTATTCCAATGAATCTTAGCTGTCTTAAAGTCAGAGGAAAATAGTATATAGAGCGGAAATCTGGGAACAGATTGTTTACATCGGTTATTGTGAGGTCAACACAACACGCAAATCGATCGAGCATCAAATGAAATACCATCAAACAAAAAAGAGATGTGCTGTATCGACCGCCATGTTTTCCCGCGCACGAAGTGTAAAAACCCTTCCTGGCATGCATTGCGATCATGTTCTGTGGACGTTTCTCGAACTGGTAACTAGATTGTTTCGGCTTTTTTCATTTAAACATAATAACAGCCAGCAAGTAGCGATCGATCCAGGTTGCGTTGATTTTATTTCATATCGGCATGATTTGTAGTGTTTTGAACTTCTGGGATCAGCGGACATGCAGATGTATGGAGACCGGTATGTTGCGCAGAAGGGTTAATTGAAGGAATGAGTGCAAAACCATGCTAAGTGACGATTTGGGTGAAAAAAAAATTTCATGAGAGGGCTTGAATTTTTGCATGTGGTCTTCAATGTAATAGTAAAATGCGGCCCTGTATTTTTGTCGCTGGTTTTTGCTTCATTTTCAAGCTATAACGTATGCAAAAATACTTGGCTTTTCCTAGCCATGTCTTTAGGAGTTTATTTGTTGAACAGCAAACAGGCAGACTATTTATAGTGTATGACGTCAAAATCAAATCTCATAGCATATATAGAGTGGAAATCTGGGAACAGATTGTTTACATCGGTTATTGTGACATGAAGACAACACGTGAATCGATCGAGCGTCAAACGAAATACATCAAGCAAAAAAGAGTCGCCGCATTAGACCTCTGTCAACTAATATCTTAAGCATTGTTTTAAAGTACCTTGTATGCCTGCCTGGTGG